TTTCAATATATAATATCCATTTAAAAATTCTTATAATTATTTCAATAATAACAACCGAAGTAGGTTTTCCTTCCGAGTTCATCAATCAAAAAGTCCAAAAACAAACAAGCTTTCGAAAAGGCGACACCCAATTTCTTTCAATTACCCCAAAAGAAAGAAAAAAATCAGCAAGTCATCTAATATAGGTAGTTTATTATAAGCAGCATCTATCAATTTGTTGTGGAGCGGAAATCAAAACAGTCCCGGGCTAGCAGTAATTTTGCGGTGCATTTTCTATAACAAGGCATAATGTGAAAGCGCAAATCTCATTATCGGATCAATCTCGGCAGGCCGCCTAATGCCCCGCCATATGGACACTAACGTATCATCGTCAAAAAATAGGAATAAAGTAAGGTACTAGACTTGAATTTTATTTCGTAAAATTAGGTAAATTAAGCGGAGAGGTAGAAGATTTAAATTAATTTATTTTTTATACTACTTTAATGTTGTTGAGATGCTGTGCATTTATACTGATATATTTTCAACTGTTAATTTTAGGATTAAACGACTTACCTGTAAGAAATTTTAATCCAAATTATACGAGATTGGTCACATCCAAATAAGCTACCCTGTAGTAATACTTCTAGTGCTGACGTTGGCAAGTTTTAGAGAAAAGTGAATCACTGGTCCATTCTACGTACTTTAATACATTTCCATAGATTCACATTCTTATTGTGATGTTTGTTTATTAATTAATAATTTATTTAAACATTATTTAATTATAACTATACTATTCTAATTTATATATAATTCAAATGTCTCTAAACTGTTCACGATTTATCTTCACTGTCCATATAATAACTGATACCGCGTTATTCTCCACCAATATTTATATACCAATTTAAAATTATGGTGAATGTTCCTTCAGGTTCTAGAACGTTCTCGCCAAAAATTAGAAACACTATCACGTTATATTTGGAATAGACTAGAAATAGTATCCCGATGCCTCTGGAATGTTCGCGAAAGTACCTCCGTCATAGCCGTCACATAGGTTTGGTCTTAAGGGGTTTAATTATGTATAATAAATGGACAAGTTGAGCCTCAAAGGCCAAATAAGACAGAGAGGGACTTGGAGGGTTAGAGCATGACTGAGTAATGAAATGGCTCACATAACATTGCCCCCTCCTTAAGAGATAGTTCCTCCTGGAACTCTCACGAAACTAAACTGGAATGGTTGTATCTGCAACTGAATCCTCTTTTATAATTTCCAGTTGCATGGAAGTAACAAGGGACTGTCTTCGCTGTAACCTGGGCACTAGACTAAGTTATGCTTCCCATACATCCTGATAGGTAGATTGATCTTGGAAGGTGTTCTTCGTTATTAAATAGAAAAAAAAGTTTCAAGGCTTTTCCAGGGGCTGGTAACTGATATTGAAGTTCTACCAGTCGACCAAACTTCTTACTGAACACATATGCCAGTCCTCGCGCGTCGTTGATGCTGGCGGAAGTACTATGAACCAACGAGTAGTCTTTCGGAAGCGAGAGCAGATCTTGTTGTTGCTCGGTCATATCACCATATCTTCTTCAAAGACAAGGTCAGGTGTTTCTCGAAGTTGGTTTACTTCTTCTTCATGGTCATCCTCAAATGGCGCCAACCTATTTTAATCCACTACCTTTGGTTTACCGTTTGGGATCTTACTTATACGGTAAATTACATCATTTATTTTATTCTTTATGAGGTACGGACCTTCCCAAGACCTTTGAAGCTTCGGATAATAACCTTTTTGTCTTTTTGGGTTATGGAGCCAGACTTTTTCACCTTCCTTGAAACATCCCTCCATAGCCTGAGTATCGTACCGTTTCTTCATCCTGTCGCTGGCCATTTGGAGATCCGAGCGAACTAATTCATGCATGTCGTCCATTCTTCTTCGTAACTGGATCACATAATCTTAACCAGCTACATCTTCTCCAGGTCGGCATCCAAACTCGAGGTCGCACGGTAGTATCATCTCACGCCCAAACAAGACCTTTGCTGGTGTTTGGCCTGTTGATTCATTGACAGCGGATCTATAAGCCATTGCAAAGAGCGAAATATACTGATTCCTATCTCGCTGATGGTTTGAAACCACTTTTGACAGATATTTGCCAATGGTCTTATTCATTCGCTCTACCATTCCATCGGATTGACAGCGGATCTATAAGCCATTGCAAAGAGCGAAATATACTGATCCCAATCTCGGTGATGGTTTGAAACCACTTTTGACAGATATTTGCCAATGGTCTTATTCATTCGCTCTACCATTCTATCGGATTGTGGGTGCAATGCTGTGGTTCTGGTCTTCTTCATGCCTAATCTGTCACAGATTCCACGGAAAAGTTGACTTTCAAAATTTCTTCCTTGGTCACTGTGGATCTCCAAGGGCACTCCAAATCGACAGATAAACTCTTTTATCAATACATCTGCAACAGTTGCGGCCTCTTGATTTGGAATGGGATAGACTTCCACCCACTTTGTAAAATAATCCATAACCACCAAAATGTATTTATTATCATCATCGGTCGCGGGGAATGGTCCAGCAATATCTAAGGCGATCCTCTCAAATGGGCTACCAACGTAATATTGCTTTATGGGAGCCTTCCCTTTTCATTGAGGTCCATTACTCATAGCACAGGTGGTACATTTCTTACACCAGTCCTTTACATCATCGGAACTGTTCATCCAGTAAAACCTTTCCCGAACTCTCTGAAGGATTTCCTAACACCGAGATGTCCTCCTGATAGACTGTCATGTAACTGACTAAGTACTTCAGCTACTCTACTTCTTGGAATGACCAACTGTCTTCTGTTCTCGAAACCATCATCATTTTCAAGTACCCGCTTTAATAAGCCATCTTCCAGGATAAAGGAGTCCCACTGAGCCCAATATAATTTAACTACTGGAGAGAATTTTGATACTTCTTGCCAAGTAGGTCGACGATTTTCCTCTTTCCATTCTCGTATCTTCTTTAAAACGGGATAATTCTCTTGTTCTTCCCTAAGTTTGACAGGGGTCCACTCATCGCTGACAACCGACGTTTTTCGTACTGTAACTTCTTTAACAGATGTGGCCAACGCCTTTCCAATCAGAGTTCCTTGATCAACACCTTTATTGCGTCATGACAGGCTCTATAGTTCCTTGCAACCGCCTTACTCGGATTGTTTCACTTCTTTCAGGTAACACCGTTCCTTCCTGTACAGCCACCGGCACGGTTTTTCGATTCGTAGTGTTCTTTGGACGTTTGCGCGAACTGCTTACTTTTCCCATTTCACCGCAATTCCAGCACCTAATAGTCTTCGGTTGTTTCTCATTAAGGCTTTTTATTATGTGAAACAATTGGTCCAATTTATTTCCCTGTTCTTCTTCTTTTACAGTCTATACTTCACTGTATCCACCAGAATCCAGCGTAGCCGCTTCATATTCAAGAGCAGCGGACAAGACATCGACCAATGTTTTGTGACGGGCTAAACGAAGTGTTCTGTGTTTCATCAAGTAGGTTTGACCATGTATTTCAACATTAAAATTTGATTTTTCTCGAAAACGGTCGACTTTAGAGCGTATGACCGAAAGTACCTTTTTTGTGTAGAAAACATTGGCGGTTCAAATGGGCGTCTCAAAACTGTACTTTTTTCAGTGGCGTAGAATTTTTTTTTTCAATTTCAACACCCTGTATCTCGAAAATGGTGCATTTTAAAGGGTAAGTTAATAGAAAGGTTTTTTCATATTTTTGGACGAACTATTACTTCCTGAAGTCCTGCGCATATATTATGAAACACCCTGTATAATAGTACTTTTTTTCAGAAACACGCAAATAAATGACAATTTTCTAAAATTAAATGCACATTATTATACGAGTACAAGTTCTGAGCCATTGTTGGTTCTGTATTATTTGTACCTCTGGTTCTGTGTTGTGGAGTAACGCGTGACGGCTTGACTGTCAATTTGTCATTATATAACGATAGCATCATTCCGCCGTTTGACTGTGATCCGCCTCTGTGAGTTTGTGGTTGATTAATATTAATTTTTTGCAGTTTGTACTATTTTTATCTCTGTCAGAAAGGTGGAAGTTTTCCAGAAAGTACTACAAGCTAAAAAGTGAATTCATAATATCTAGCAGGGTAAACTTAAACAGATGGATTGTTATATTGATCTGCCACTTATTTTGAATGAGCAATTAAATTATTTTCAGGTTTAGCCTAAAATGCAAATATGGCCAAATCATGAAAACTGAACTGTCAATCCAGGCATGGTTGAAAATAACAAAGGAGAGGAAAGACGCGATGAATTCCAAAAAGTTTAAATTAATATTCATAGGTTATTTGCCATTAAATAAAAGATTTTGAAATGTGCAATATTTTCACTAATTCTTTAAACATCTCTACCTATTTCTCTATTTGAGCTCGTGATTATGTCCATGAAATGTTTTTAAATAGACGTCCTTAAAACATCCTGTAAATGCCCATTCGAAAACCTAAAATATTCTTTGGTTGAAAATTGAGAGAACAAACTACTTGCTTATGAAATATAGATTATTCCTATCTACTTTTAGCTGTGCTGCTATATCCACAAGAAGAACAACTGACCATATTGTCTTGTTTGTCTTTTAACGCGAAAAATATAAAATTAACAGTAATACTAAATAAATACTAAAACACTAAACACTTTTTAAAAATGTCTACAAAACATACGCTCGATAAAAGTTTAAATTAACACATAAAACATCCAAATTATTAACAAATTTTATTCACTAAAATTATAAACCAATTTTAGAAACCATTTATCATATAATGATGAGTCATCCATAGCACAACATGGCTACCACTTCCGTCAGATCGATTAGATTAACGCGGACATGGCATGCTCCTTCCTGACTATATCTAAGGGCAATACACAAATAGCTATTTTACTTTCACTCTTGCTTTTTTTTGTCTTACTGTTTTTCGGTTATTCGGCTTACTTCTCTTTTATATAATTGTTCTATGATCCTGTACCAGTGACAGAGTTGCTAAAAATGTCAAAGTGTCAACTTCAAAAAATTGGTAAAATGACAATAAATTATTGTCATATTTGTAATATGAGTACTTTATAGAAAATTGATTTTTGAACTCAAAAATGGGCAAGTATTAATTTGAACACACATCTAACTTATATAAAGTATCTTCTTGCGTCACAATAATTTTTTTTAAATCAATTTAAAACGTATTTACTATATGCACAATTTTTTTAACTGTTAAATTATACAGGTGTACCTATAAGATTCTGGATAGCATGTATGATTTTTTTTACTACATTTACTTGTTATACGACAAGAGTGAATTTCTCAGTAAGCATTGTGTCTATGACGAGCCAAAAAATAAAAGGAACCCCTTACTGTAAACCGGAAAGTAATTTAACAGGACCCGAAAAGAATGATGTAAGTTATTTCTATTGTCTCTAGATTCTCTTACAGTTTTTCAACTTAATTATTTTATATTTACTGGGCATATATAAAGAGCTAAAAGAGGTGGCCAAAAATAGTCTACAAGAGCAATGGGTTACTAAATATACTAGAGAGAGAATTCGCCTTTGTTTAGCTGAGTTTAGTGATGTAGAAACTGTTGCAAATAATATAATGAAAGTGAAGTAAAAAAAATCAGTGAGATCCGAAGAACTGAAATGCAATTTTCGAAATATGAAAATGAATAATTCCCAATTCTTCCTACGAAATTATGAAAAATACACCCACATATCCCTAAAATGTAAACAAACCAAAGAAACATTAAAAATGCTAAAAATTAAAGAAATTAACATGATTGCATCGACAAGTGATCGAACCTGGAACCTTCGAGCCGTCCATGCTCTTACTAGTTGAAGATTAGAAATACCAAAGGCACTAAGTGCCAAAATCTAAATTTTCTGGGTATGTGCTTAAAACGGTTGTAAATACCATCATCAATTTATCCACGAAGGTTCTAAGTGCCAAAGGAAAAAAAATACACTAAATATATAAACTTGTTTTCTTAATTATCTTATATTTGTGAATTTGGTAATTAGTGTCTTTGGTACTTCCACTCTTTAGTTGAGCTATCGAAACTAATGACTTCGATATCCGAACTCGTAAATCAGATTAAGACACTTGCCGGCGCACACAAATTCTAATTCCATTCCAGCTCTCTCATTTCATCTTAAAGCCACTCTTGTGATAGATGTGTTCTTGATAATTATATTTTAATATTTTTTAAACAACAGTATACAATGTTTATAAAAATTACAAATTTGCCATGTCCGCAGTTTCTTCATAATTAATTTTGGCTAAAGTTGATCCCTTGAAAAGTTAGATAAGAAAAAAGACATCTTTGATTTTTTCAGTATGGCCAGCGATATGACTGGAACGAAAGAACACAAGGTACTCTTTTATCAGCTTATTTCTATGGATACGTTTTATTCAATCTTTTATCCGGTTTGATAGCAGAGTATTTTGGACCATTCAAAGTGATCCTTGGTGTTCACCTAGCGGCGATAATTTTGAACACTTGCTGTGTATTTGCTACTAGGGTTCATTGGGGACTACTATTTTTCCTCAGATTTTTACTAGGAATGGGAGGGGTAAGTTATAGTTTATTATTTATACAAATAAAACTTCTTTTACATTAACAAAATTGATTAACTATATGGATAACTATACAGGGTTTTCCTTAATAATATGCGCATATTTAAGGGTGTAAATCTGCATTAAAAATTAGTCATAGTTTGCTTTTTAAACTATGATCTAAATATCTTTTTTTTCCTTGCATTCTTTAATAATTACATAAATTTTCTCGTACAACAAAAACGTTTTTATTTTTTTACTCAAAAACGAAGAAGTGCAGGAAAATAAATCAGAAAATTCTTTAAATTTAAAATTATTCGGGGAATTTAAAAAATAATTTTTATCCAGGAAAAATCCATTAGGATAACATTTTTTTGTTCAAAAATATTTAGGCTAGTGCCCTTACGCACGCCACTCTTAAAGCTGAAAATTATTTTTGAATTGAAAAATATGCACCATTGCACTGTTACTGAATATTAAATATCACTGAAATATCTCAAGCGGTTAGGAAAATATTAATTAATTTTCCTTTTTTTTTCCCGAAACTTTCGCACCCTGTATTTTCATAACGGAAAATTGTTAGACCATAGTTTATAAAGCAAGCTATCATTAATATTTATGGAACAACCTGTATATATTTTTAAGGCAGTTATAATAAAACTTCCTTAAAAGACAATAGTTTTTAAGGTCTTCAACATTAACAAAATTGAATTATCTAATTTTTAGGCTCTTGTTTATCCTTCATTGCAAATGCTCATCGCATACTGGGCACCTCCAGAAGAAAAAGGAAAATTTTCAGCAGCACTCATGGGAAATGTATTAGGTATAATTCAATTTAATAAAAGGTATTGTTAAAATAATAGACAGACTATACATAATACATTCTAGAACGTTATTCAAGTAGAATCTCAATGAGGTAGGGCTTCATCAGAGGGTAAAAGAGGTCTCAGCTACGATGAAAGGTCTCATCTGCCGTTTTCTCTTATATCCAAATCAGTAAATATTTGTAGTCTTTAAATAGTTCAGCCTTCTGACGTCAATCATTCTTCATATTACGAAGGAAAAAACATCCAAATAATTCTTCATATTACCAAGTAAAAAAAACATCCAAAAGTTGCCAAGCTAAAAGAATTTGACCTTTTAATGGATAAATTGGAGAGGTAGGTCGGATGAAACGAACGTTTTGAATAATAAAATAATATATTTCTTTACAGAAACTAACAAATTTAAAACGTGTCATCTCACAAAAAACATAACTTTAAAAAGTTAAACAAATAAATTTTGGGTAATCTTTGTAATTATTGTATGACACAAAAAATATTAAATTTAACACCATATTTAATCAAAAATCAAATAGCATGATTTTATCAGCGGATCACCTTGATTTATATAAATTCGTGTTCTCCTCTCTAAATTTAGAGAAAAAAAGAATAAAAAAAATGAAACTCGATTGACAGACACAGAATTGTGATCTCAAAAAAAAATATTGGACAATAGAGGTGTTTGAAAAATAACGGTATGAAAGATATACCGTTACAAATTTTAAAGGTGAGACGAAAAAATAGAAAAATTAGTAAAAAATCATGTAAAGGCGGATGTCTTTTTGGTCATGTATACTCGTTGTAACTTTCACCCTCTCCTATGACAACCCACTATGTTTTTTTTCGATGAGACACCCCGTGATATATTGCATTTTCTATTATCCTCTAATATTCGATTCTAAAAATTAAATCGTTTGGAAGTAACAGATAATTTCAATTTAATTGATTGTACCATTATTTTATTAATTTGTTGAGAATTAGAACGTTTCTGTTATTAGAGCAGAACACCAAAATGCAATAATATACAGCATGTTCTATTGAAAAAACATTGTGCTGTGTACAATTTGGAGAAATGGTTGGTAACTATACTGATTATACTGCATCAGAAAAAGTGGGTGACATATCCAACATTTGCTTTCCACATAACAAATCCCATTATTTAAGCAAAATAATTTCTTTAAGATCCTGTTGTTGACTTAATTTGTTAAAAATAAATAACGCCGAAATATATCACTTACTCTATGATTGCCTTGTAATTGTGAATTCAGCTTTTTAGGCATTTTCCAACAAAATACAACACGACAATTTTTGATATTTAAAAAAATTGAGTGGATGACTGTTTTAAAAAACAATTGATAGGACCTAGCATTTTTTACATTTATTTGTTTTAAATAACGGAGTTTACAGGGATGTAAGACTTTAACAACCGCACTGTATGTATTATACATAAATACAAAAGGCGAGCTTTTTTAATGTGAAAGCTTACTTTAAATAGTGATTGTAATTTTTATTGTAGTTATTGCAGTTTTAAATGAATACAATCTTGAAAATAATAGAAATAACATTTTACTTGATACTTAATTTTTTTTTCAGAATAGATTACAAAATAATTATTTAACTAAAATGTTCTCTACTTACTTTAAAAATATATTTTAGAAGCTAAAATTACTTAAATGAAATATCTATTCAAAAAACTTTTTTCAACTCATTTTTTACTTAATCGTTAATGCCCCTTTCATTTACAAATCCTGATTATTTAAAAGCATAATTCGTCATATTGGACCTGACCTAAAATCACCTCATACTGTCTACTACTTTAATCTAATAATAACCCTAACTTTAAATTTTTAGGTACTTGTGTAACATGGTCAATTGTAGGTGTAATAACTACTTATTTTGGCTGGGCTTGGGGATTTTATGTAGTTAGTATCGAAAACATAATTTTTTGTGTAGTCTTTTTCATCGTAATAACAGATACTCCAGAGATGCATAAATGGATTAAAGAAGAGGAAATAAATTATATTAAAGAGGCACAAAAAGGAACCGTTACACATAAAAAGGTAATTAAATTATTAAAGTAGAAGTGGTAGTGGTAATTAGCCCAAAAACTTAGTTCTTTACAAAACAAGATAAATTTTAAAGCTCCTAAGCTGCATAGCTAGCATATGCTAAATACAATACTTATTATTTTGTATTAGGCATAGCCGTGCTTTTATAGCAAACATGTGACAACTACGATCGATATCCCGCTATCGCTATGTTCTCTGGTTTAGACACTGATATTCGGTTCGGCTAATATCTTCTAATTCTAGTCGACCGCGACGACTGGCTGTTGCCCTGTTGCCATTCTATTAATTTATATACTAGTTGTATGCTCAACACGAAAAAATAAGCACAATATTTAAAAATCACGTTAGATCAAAACCTAAGGTGAACCGCTTGTCAAGCCAATAACGATAATGTGGAAATATCAAAAACTATACCCATATCCTTACATCGTACCAACTAAAGCTAGAAGCTTATTAGGTGCCACTGTAAGCGAAAACTAAAGGTGAATAAGTTTTAAATTTTAGTCGACGAGAGCACTGATATTGGACTGCAGAAAACTGTGTGTGCTTATGAAATTTGTAGATATTGTAGATCCGTCAATTAAGGAAGTGAAGGCAAAACTTTTAGAATTATTCTGGAAACTAGGTGAATTTAAACTCCTTCTTCGTAATCATAAAATACCTGTTACTAATGTAATAGGAATGGCTTTGGATGGAGCTAGTGTTATAGTTGGTAAAAATAATTCTTTTACGTCAAGGCTTGTGAATGATATTAAGAATGCTGTCGAAATTATTGCGTGTGTCATACTTTCGCAATAATTGCAAATAAAGCTTGTATTTGTCTGCTGTGAGCACCGGAGGATCTTTTAGGACAAGTTTACGTTTATTTTTCTGAAAGTTCGAAGAGATAATAATATGTCCAATTAGAAGAAATGCAAGAATATTTTAATTTCGAAAAGAAAAAATATTATACGTGTGGCAGATACAAGGTGGTTATCTTTGTATAAATGTTTTTCTGTCTCCCGAAGTAAGGAAAGAGATTGCCTTCTGGCATTCGTTCTTACTTCCACCTCTCTGTCTGCTTATATGTCCGTCCATTATATCTCTTCGTTTCCTCTAAATTACAATATAAATTACATTTTTAAATGTTTTGATTCCGACTATGCCTATTAGGTTTTGGGGGGTGATGTCTTTCCCTGTGCATAACTCCAATTCCTTAATTCTTTACGTTCCCTTTCCCATCTTGTGCTTTTGGTAAATGTGTGTTTTGCTTTGTCTATCTCCTCGCAAGAGATGCAGTTATCGCTATTCGCCTTGCCTATCCTTTTCGTATAGGTCCAAAATGAGCCAGTCAGGATTTTTGTTAGTTGGTAGTTTAGTTTTCTACAATTTATCCATTTATCCACAGTCTAGTATTAAGGTCTTTTTTCATTGTCCTGTTGATGGGTGTACGTTCCATTCTTGTTAATATATTTCTATTGTGGCTCTTCGCTCGGCGCTCTTTATAGCCTGAAGATGACCTTTTTTCATCTCATAATGTCGCGATGGGCGCTTGCTATTTAGAGAGCCGCTTTTATTTGAAGCTTTTCATCATGACCCTGCATTTTGTGATTTTAAGTACCTCTGCCCAGATCTGGAACCTAGTTCTTTCCAATAGAATTTACTCTTCAGATTAATTTTCCATACTGTAGAATCGCTAGTTCGATTTTTGATGCAGACCTAAACTTCTCGTGTAGATATCTAGTCAACAGTGTGCTGTCATCAGTTTTGTAAGAATGCTTGGATCGTTGTTTATCCAGATACATTCATAGAAAGGTTGGGTATAAACACCTTCGAATGAGTTAGCTCTAGGGTATATCTACAGTATTCCAATACATAAGTGTTTTTAGTTTGTTATTCTTCTGGTAGTGCTTTTGGCAGGGAATGGTTCTGGTCCCATGATTTTAAATTTCGTTCTTCTTTCAGCGAACACGTCGGTTTTTTTATTGCCCAGTGTCTCAAAACCTATATCAAAATATTTGAGATAATTTAAAGAGTTCCATTGCAGCTTTGAAGAAAGGTTTGCAAAACTACACATATCTAACCACATCTTTGTCTGTAATTTACGGAAGCTGTGCAGATTCGCCCAATTGTTGCAATAAATAAAATACTGGATCTTTTTTCTTTGCACCTGCTAATGTTGAGGAAGGTAGCCCAAAATATATTCACAGAACGTTGGAGTTAAATGGTATTAAACCAAGAGAATTAGTGAGACATCTAAAAGGTTAGATAACCCTATAGTATACACCACTAACTACCAAGGGATTATAATGTAAGCACTTCCACGGTACGCACGAAATGGTTATTAACAACCACCAAAGTTAGAATGGTACAAGACCAAATTTGGAGAGGAGAGTTCTTTTTTGTATAGAAATTACTCAAATTGTTGAAATACAACTAAGATTAAAATGTTAACCAATATCTTCTGTATTATAGTTATCTGTTTTCCTTCTTACTAGAGGCCTACTTTTGTTTTTCTATTTGTTAATAAAATGTTCTGATAAATCCCTTTGTTGTTGGTAGGACTACTTTTTGTATAGTTAGAAAACTATAAAGGACTGGCCTCTCACCCTGCTGGTTGATAAGACACCTAGAGGTATCCAGGGACAGCCAGCCTCTCAGCTCGTCAAGGTCCTGCAGGCTAATAACGTCTCCTAGAGGTATCTCTAGATGCCCATATTTTTGAAAATGGCCATTAGGTGGGCTTCTACTATCCAAATGAAAAATGTATAGTTCTTATGCCCGCCCACTTCACAAGGCGTTGCTTGAATGTACTTAAAACGTTAAGAAAAATAAGTTTTTAAAAGTTAAAACAAAGCTTGTCCTAATTCTTCTACCACTCTTGCTTAAAATATTTTTATTACGAATAAATGATGTAATTCTAAACTTATCTTTATTATAATCAAAATTTGTCGAATTTATAGGTTATAGCACCTTATAAGGAAATTTTTACAAACTTTGCATATTGGATGTTGATGATTTGCCACTTTTCAAACGAATGGGGTTTGTACTTGCAACTGACTTTGATACCAAAATTCATTTCTGACGTCATTGGCTATAATTTGGCCGCTACTGGCGGTTTGGGGGCCTTACCACCTTTAATGAGAATGATATTTGCTTTAGTATTGGGAGCAATTGCAGATGCTCTTTTAGTAAGAGAAATGGTTAGAAAAAAAGTTATACGAAAATCCTACACAGTACTATGTAAGTTTTCTTAACAATTTTGACATTTATCGAAATTGAAATTACATTTGATTACAATATGATAATCTGTTTATTTTTGTGTATGACAAATAGCAAAAAATCCTTTAGAACTTGATTGTATAAAATCGAAGGGGGATAATTGTAGACTAAATTGATAAAAATAAACGATTATAAATTGTTACTACTTGGTTTTACGTAAACCTCAAAATAACAAAATACGTTACAAAAAAATTAAGGTTGTTGAAGCGGTACTTTATTGTAAAAAAAATATTATCATACGTTATGCTTGTTAAGTTCGTTTACTCTAAGTCTTGTTTCCTTTAAGTTGGCCTAGTCTAATTTCTTTTACGACACCCCTCGGTTTACTTTAAGCTCCCCTGGTCTCCTTTAAGCTCCCTGGTCTCCTTGAAGCTACATCGGTCTCATTTATTTTTAAGACATAAAAACACTGTGTCCAATCACTCATAATACAAATGTCTTTCCATCTTTAATCACATGATAATAAAAAATTACAAGAAATTTCAAAAATATTTTATTTCATGTTTTGTGGAAGGCAATGATGAAAAATTAGATAAAATGAGTCAAAATATTGCATTTTTTATAATATAAACATAAACGATTATAAATTGTTACGCCTTGGCTTTACGTAAACCTCAAAATAACAAAACACCTTATAACAAAATTAAGGTTGTTGAAGCGGTACTTTATTGTAAAGAAATATTATCCTAGGTTGTGCTAGTTAAGTTCGTTTACTCTATGTCTCGTTTCCTTTAAGTTGATCTGGTGATATTTAATTTCTTTTACGACACCCCTCGATTTACTTTAAGCTCCCCTGGTCTCCTTTAAACTTCACCAGTCTCATTTATTTTTAAGAAATAAAAACACGGTATCAATCACTCATAATACAAATGTCTTTTCATCTTTTAACACATGATAATAAAAAATTACAATAAATCTCAAAAATATTTTATTTCATGTTTTGTGGAAGAAAATGATGAAAAGTTGATAAAATGAGTCAAAATATTGCATTTTTATAATATAAATGAAAGTAGCAACCTAAACTTAATTTTCCATACTTAATTACAGTTATAGTATTATAAAAAGTTAGTTAATTCAATGTACTAGTGCAAAAATTTCGAAATTACCACCTCAGGATAGTAAAACATGCCTTGTAAGAACCATTCACAAAAATTATCTGCGAAAGAAATGTTCAAGTTCAACAGGATATAATTGATCTTCCCGCAATTGTCCACAGTTTTCTTTGAATTATCCCACCTGAAATACAATCACCTGCGCACTTAGGTACCAAAAGTTCCCCGACAATATTACTATTTAAAACGTGTTTTTCTAAACGAACAAATGAGGTCAGGCAACACAATATTCATGAGACATATTCGTAAAAAGACTGATTAATTCGTTTAATTTTTCGTACATATGTTCAGATCCGGTTTTAAATTTATTAATTCTTTATCTTTGTTAATATTTTTTTTCAAAAAAGTGATTCAAAGAAATGTTTATTTAACTTCTACCCACAGTTAAAAAAAGTATCAACTTAGGATTCAACCTGTATATGGTGCCTTTTAGATGAAATGGGTACAGCAGCTATTCGCGTTTTAAACTAATTTTCCCGCGCTCTGTAAATAGGATAGAAACACCACAGTGTTGTCATAAAAATTAAATTTTTTCTATTAGAATTTTGAATCAAATTTTAAAATTCAACTTAAAAATATTAATCATGGTGTCAAGTTAAGATTTCCGTATAACGGTTACCGATTACCTTTGTCGCTAAAATTATGACATTCAGAAGTATGTTTTTGAGTTTCAGTTTAATCAGTTTATAGCCCAAGAGCCCACTGCAAATTTTGTACTTTACCAAATAGCACCTGTGCCAATTCCAATCCTGAGCAAAGTGGCTTAAAAAAATTATTTTATATTAAAAAAATCACATAGGACATGACAGCGCTAATTTTGTTTGCCCTTAAAGTTTTCCAGAAAATTACATTCAAATATATCTTGATATATATCGTTAAAGAGAAACATTTTCTTCCTCTTAACATCGCACAAAAATATCTATTCACGATTATTATGTAAAAATCATTAAAAATATGAATCAATGTTTGTTGATTTAAAAATTTATTTGTGTGCCTATTGTTGTGATTCATTTTTACAGGTTGCCATAGAAACGACAAAAAAACAACTATGATTATAGGTTTGTTCCAACAACAATCTTGAAACCATACACAAACCAGTCCACAACTTATTGTCGACGACTGATAGTCGACGACCAGTCCACGACCTGTCGATGATCGAGACTGAATTCGGAACTTGGTTGTGTTGCAACACATGTTTCTGTTGTCAGACACACTATCAATAACGTAAAAGTAGAAACAAACAACAGATATTAAATTTTAAATTTGGTAATTAAAAAAAATTAAAACTCATTAAAAGATAAATTTTGATTATTCGATTGGTTAGTACATTAACTTATTTTATTTTTCTACTGTATCTAAGTCAGAATAATAGTTCTTTTCACTTTCTACACTCATTACTCATAAAATAATAGGTATACTATAAATAATGATAATGAATAAAAACTAAATTACGATCGATGATGCTATCAAAACGAATATAATCATAACAGAGTTGATCGTGATTTATTTACGAGCTAACTTTCGTTTTGCGCATGTCTTGACAATTCGTTCCTATTCAGACCCAGGAACTGATTTGACAGTACAGAAACTGGTTTGTGATTAGGTTTGAGTATGTTGGAACACTAGGTTTTTGTACAGTTTTGAGTCCAAGCTTTGTTGGAACATCAAATCTAGACTGCGCAGAATCCCGACAGTACGTAAACCGATTTGCTATTGTGTTGGAACAAACCTTTTGGTTTAAAATAATTGTCTAACAAGAGTTTATAATTATTATTGACTATCTCTGCAAATTGTTTATACAATGCCATCCTTCTTCCTATCATACATAAATATGGTTTAAAAGGTAGGTAAAAATATTAATAATTCAGGTTTAAAAGCTAGGTTCACAATGAATTAGGATTGTAATTTTCAGGGAAAACACAATTGTCGCTGTCATGTCTTATGTGATTTTTTGAATAAAAAATAGTGTTTTTAACCACTTTGCTCAGGATAGGGATTGGCACAGGTGCAATTTGGTAAAGTACAATGTTGTTACATGCCTTTGGAGCATATTTCAGTTCGTTATCAGATGACGGTCGAGATTTGCAGTGGGCTCTCATACTATTAGATTTGTTACAATTTTGATAAGAACGGTAACACTAATCCTATTTACAAATGTTATAAAATGTACATCCACAGGGCGTTTCGATTAGCTTGAATCGCGAATAAATAGGTTTTACAAAGGTCACATTAGGAACGGAGTGGCAACAAATGGAATAAAATAACTTTTATGTATTCGAAGTTTTAAAAGATAACAAACGCTAAAATATAAATAAAAAACAGTAATACTTTGTTCTGGTTTATTTTCAGCCTCGTCTGCAATTTTGATAGTTTTTTCATTATTTGAAATACAAAATTATTTGCTTTTTGTTTCTCTATTACTTGTTCATCAAAAAACAAATAACGTTTAACCATGGAAAATTCAGAAGATTTCGCTATATCGGATATTAAATAAAAAATAAAAAATAATATTAAACAGAAAAATTAGAACTGTAGTTTAAATATTATTTTTATATACATATACACTTATTACTTAATTTATGCAAAAACTTTGAAACAAAAAATAACGTTTTAATTTTACAGCTCACATTATACCAGGAATGATGCTTATTGGTATATGTTACTCCGAATGTAATTTCCTACCGATCATGGTTTTACTAACATTGAGCTTGGGTTTGAATGGTGCTGTAGTCCAAAACATTTTAATAAATGCTCAAGATCTTGCACCAAATTTTGCGGGCACCATTTACGCACTTAACAGCTTTTTCGCTGGAATGACAGGATTTATAGTGCCAAATATTAATGCTGAATTTACCAAAGACAAGGTGAGAAATGATTTTTGTAGGGCAAAAACAATTTTTGTTCGTGTACCAAATATGGTGCCTGGCATAAATATTGTCCCAAATAGAAAACTTTCTAATAAAAATTATACTTGAATTGTAAGAAACAACGATACCGTGAGGTAATTAAAGCAAAATTGTTAATAGGCTGACAAATCGGAGAGGAATTGTATCTTGTAGCTCAAGTAATTACTAGGTAGTTGGATATAAAAGCAATGGCAGTCTATTGGTTAGGTAAAAAAATTAAAAAATTGTTTTTGGTTTAGATTCAGTCATTGATCTTTAGAAATTTTTCCAAAATTTCCTTCAAAATTTTTCACTAGTTTTCGGCCACTTTAATATTCATAATCGTGGTATGAGTACCTTGATTATGAATAAAAAAAATTCGTTTTCCCTCTTTTTTAATAATTTAGTTTCCCCTTACCAAAAGGGATATTTTGGGTTTGGAGGCAAATAACTTTTAAGAATAACATTTTCTGTGGAAGGTATAATATGTAGTTTTTTATCCATATTTATACCGGAAGCTGAATAAATTATGTTTTTATTTTACTTTTGATTTATAGAATGGTATAGATGAATGGGGAAATACTTTTATGTTAGGAGGCATCGTATACTTTACTGGAGGTGTATTATGGATATTTTTTGGATCCGTGGAAGAACAAAGTTTCAACAGAAAAGGAGATCCTGGCTAAAAATAAACTTTTTTATCTAATATCTAACTAATGAATTCGATAAAAGTGAAATTTGTTTGACTTAACAGTTGAATAATTTCACAATCCCTATAGAATTATTTAGGTATAAGCAGAGGTTTGTCTTAACTACCATACTAAGAAATAAAATGAATCTAAAAAAACAATTTATGTAATGAAAATTAATAAATATAATTTCTAATTAACTGTCTAGTTAATTTTTCAGTTATCAAATTTTTTTAATAACTTTTATGTTACATTTATTCAGCAGCAGCAGCAGGTAATGAATGACGTAACAGAATTAAGCAAACATATCTTACGAGATGCATATTTAAAATGTATAAAAATTTCTATTAAAATCGCAAATATTTCATTTGGTAATTATCTCATCGATAAGTATTGTTAAAAAAAAATTCAAGTACTATTTAGATTAGAATTTCATACCCACTGTTTAAATGACTTTGTCGTGAGCAACCAGAGATAACAGAGATATAACCATTCATTGATAAATCATTATATTCACGATGCCAAGATTAATTCGACAATCGATACACTCTATTTATAGGGACGCGGCGAGGAGACGAAAGAATAGAAGTAAGAGAGGGGATAACGAGAAGAATTTTACGCAGATACAACTTATTTTTATCAATGAATAAATGTGTAAGTCGATGTGCGCTTATAATAAACAACGTAAATATCCATGCCGGTGTAAGCCCTATTGCGACTTCCAACCTGACACGACTGGGTTTGGAATTTATTGAAGATTATTACATCTAATTTAGTGAAATTACATCTTATTTAGTTAAAAATAACTAATAATAGGTTGAATTATTTTAGCTTTTTTAATATGTAAACAAAACGTGAATAATGAAATAGGCATATGACAACAGCGGATATTATACCCTCCTGTGTCCCTCAGAATATGTCTTATTCAGGACCGCACGATATTTGTTAGTAGTTAAATCTCCTCGTTATCTCTATGAGCAACCCACCACCCTAATTATGCAATATGGACGACATTTTTAGTCAAGCCAGATTTTAAAAATTTATAAACAGATTACACAAAGGCGCCAGTTACCATTGAACGTCACTGAGAATAAACATACAATTTAAGTACCTACTGAAAAATGTTCTTGGTAAAACTTGACAAATCACCTTACAATCACATAATAACCATAAAATTTGCACCTGATTGAGATGCTATAAAGTGGAAGGTGTCGTTAACGAAACAGTAATGTTGAAAATTATCAAAAAATACAGGTTGGGATAATAATAAATGCATATTCTTTCAGCGACACCGACAGGGTCTCATAGCTTCGTAATGATATTCTGATGGTTTTCACACCTCACCCAAATAGCGCCAACTGGAGGATCATTAGCTACGGTGCGGGGTAGCACAAAGAATTCAAAATCTATGTTTTTTAATAGTCTGGTAGCTTGGGAAGACAATAAGAATTTGATAGAAAAAATTATATTTAAAATATTAACCAATGGTGTCATATCTTGATGAATGTAGGTATCTCTGTTCGTCATTAAATTTGGCTTAAAATATACAAACAATTTTATTGGAAACAATTCATTCTTAGACCATAATGAAGCTATAACTTAAATTTATAAAAGTTATTTCAACCTTCAACAATTTACATAAAAAACAAAGAAATATAAAAAAAAAACTAGTTGTACTACATTTTTTACCAACATCAATAGGACGCATCATATTCCAAACCGAAAAAGGAGGTACAATTTCCAAATTTAAAGTTCGTTTACACTATTATTTGAATTACTAACATCAAAACTTTTATCAGATAGCAAGTGGTGTAGTTGAGTTGATGCAAAAACACATCTAAGATTCCAGTTTGAAGATTTATACGATCCTTTGAATTCAAATGAAAAATTATTTGAAAAATAGTTCGTTTAATGTAAAGCATAACAGCAATATTTTAGGTTAAGTTCAGATAAATAGGGTGTTCCACAAGGATCTTATCTTCTCCCTCTATTAATTTGTACTCTTTATAAATAATGTGTCTATTTAAAATACTTTTTAATATTAAACAGTTATACACGGGTTGCTCCAGGCCGAAGTTTCGGAGAGGGTCATTGCCAATAATAATTGTTTTTAGCATTATTATTTATTTCATATGTTAATACATAATCTACTTAAATAATCTGTCGTCATTATCAAATTAGTACGAGAAATATGTTTATGTGCTTTGACACTACACTATATAAATCCTACTTTTTTAGAAAAGCCGGAAATTTCTAAAAGAACCAACACGCACACGTCCACACCTTTTTTACTGTAATTTGATTCTGCTTAAGCCCAGTTCGGCTTGTTATCCGTAATTTTTTGGGCATTAAGATTTTTCTGTGGTTATTATTTTTTCTCATGGTTATAGTTAACGGTAATGAGCTCCACGGTCCGCCCTGTTTTAGAATTTTGTATACAAAATGAATTAGGAATTGTTATGCAATAATTGAATTTCGGATAAAAAAGGATTTTTGTACCTTGGCTGGTTTTGAATAGTGGTATAGGTTTTAATTTTTAATAAGCAATGTTTTGTTAGTAAAATTTTATTTAGGAAGAAAATTACCTAACATATCAGTTAAATAATATTCTGAGCAAGTAGAAAAAGTCGATTTGATTTTGTTTGTCTACCCAATTTAACTTTAACCAGCAAAAAAATACTATCATACTTATTTTGATAAATTAAATTAACCTTAAAAAATGGTTTTTAGAGAGTAGAGTATTCTTAAGAAATAGAAAAAAAAAACAGTTTAAAGTACCAAAGAACCATCGGGTGTTCCTAAGCAATTTTAAGATATGGGAACACGGAGTCGAAACTTTCACTAATTTGTGAATATCACTTTTTTTTATATATTTTTATAGTATTTAATGATTAGCAGAACAAATAAAATTATTGTCTCATTGCAATCATTAACCATAAAGTTTCGGAAGATAAGTTCTGTAAAAATTGTAAATATCTGTTTTTACCATGTAAAATATACTGAAATGGCGAGCTTATACAATCTTGTGAATTAGAATATGCCTCAATTAGAGAGGGGTAGATCATTTTTTACAATTATTTATTTATTAATTATCAATATACAACTGAACAATAATAAATAGAACTTATAGAACTTTATTCTACCAACTTTTTTTAAATGTGCATTCGCTGCACCGTACAGATGATAGATCTTATGTATGACCTATAAAAGTAAAAGGTGGTATTAGGATTTGCTTTCCGTTTGTTTTTAGTAACACATTTTACAGGTTTATACTTTTCTCAAATTTATTAATGATATGGGTAAAATGGTCGTTCAAGAGAAGTTTATTATCTATCACAATACCTAGATATTTGTAGATTCTCTAAATAGGTATATCTTATCTATGTTACACAAATAATTTTTTTGAGGATTGTGCATGCTGTCTGGTAAAGAAAACAGCTGCAGATTTGTCAGGGGATAATGTAAATCGTATTCACTAAACCAACAGCTATTCTGTACGGTATAAAAACAAAAATCGTCAACGTACTGAATACAGTTGACTTGGTTGCTGAAAATATTGTGCAAGTCTTAATTATAAATTTTAAATAGAAGGAGGCTCGGAACCGCCCCTTGAGTTAATCCTTGGTTGATGGTCCTAGGTCTGTGTAAAATATTATTTTGATCTTAAATAAATATTTTTCTATTTCTGAATAAATTTACCACATTGCATGCGATTAAACTTAATTTGTCCTACATATGAGTAGTTTTTAGAAAATGAACGTTGTATGTAGAGACACCGCCTCGATAGTCCCTCAACCACAAAGTGATATCTATAGAGCTCTGGGTAATTACGAATTAGGTAATAATGATTATATTTAAACTTATTTATTAGTTCTTCAGAATTCCACCATATATTATACAAAGTTAATAATTTTCTTCTTTATACATCAGTCGAAGAAAGTAATGTGATTATTCCTGACCCATTAAGTATAATATATTTTAATTCATTTGAGAGGATTTCTCAAAAGTCAAATTCATATCGCCCTATAAGCCTATTCTTCTTTTTACTAAAAGCGGAAGAATGATTGATAGGTATATTAAGGACGAGATAATGAAAATAAATCCTTTTCATCCCAACCAATATGCATGCTAGCCAGGAAGTAAACTGATCCAGCTCTGGATGATTGGAACAGGATGCTTTCAAAGTCAATAGATGACAAAATAATCGTAATAGCCACATTTCTTAGATATCCACGGAGGTTTCAATAAGGCCTCAACCTGGTCAATGACGAAGGCTCCAGAACAGAGAAACGGCCAAGTGGAAATATGCCAATGGATCACTGCTAGCCTAGCAAATAGGTTAATCTACTCTAGAAAAAGCAACTATACATGTATAGTTACACAAGACTGCCCACAAAAAGGAATAGTATTAACAATTCTGCAGTTATTTCTACTGGACGACCTGCCAAAAGAAGGCTGCCAGTGTCTGGGATACGCGGACGACCTGACAGTTATCGTCAGGAGGCGAGTTGCAGGCACAGTCTCGGAGCAATCTCAAACATCTCTAAACATAGTGAACAACTGGTGCAAAAAGGAGCAATGGTCCATTAATGCACAAAGTACAACAGTTGTATCAGCGCCAAAAAACAAGACTGCTAGTATTAAACAACATGGTTATTTCATTTGTCATAGAAGCTAAATACCTCGTAATCATATTTGACAACAGTCTAATATGAAATCATCATCTGAAAAAACTCGGATACAAAGTTATCGTAAGCTAAAGAAGAATATGTGTGAAAAACTGGGACCGACATTCCAAAATTATCAAATGGGTGTACACAAAGGCGATAAGATCCATGATAACCTATGCCACAGTGGCAGTAACCAAAACTGCGCAGGCAAATGCAATAGGCCAGCTTGCCGGCATTCAATCATTCGACTGAGTGACACATAGATATGCATACCACCCCAACTGCAGCAAAGGAGGTACTGTTAAACCTCACGCCACTACACATCTCCGCACAAGGAGAATACCAGGTCCATTGTTCTCAGGATAATGCAGGGAGAAAACCCAATATGCTAACTATACAGCGTTGACCATACTAGCATGTAAAGAAGGATAAGATTCCTGAAATGTCTACTAATATAAGTATTACTAGTAACTATATACATACGAATGTATAAAAAAATTTCACATTATAATACCAGCCCTAGAATCCTGAAAACAGGTATGTCCCATAGACAAAACTTGCCTGGTATAAAAACTGTTTAAAAACCAAGGAAGGAACCGGTGCTAAAATATTCGTCAAAAACAACGATTTTGCTAGTCTAGTATTCCACACTAAACTAGTAGCCATACAACCCTGTACAAGAGAAATAATTCAGCAGATATTAGTTAAAAATATAACCGTGGCCAAGCAACTCTAAAGGCAATTCTATCACCAGAAATCAATTTATGCCTAACCTATCTATTTATCTATATACCTGAATTAGGGCGTGGTTCAAAGCTCACTTGTAATGAAGCTCTAAGCTTATTGTACCTCTCACAGTTTTTATCCCATCAAATTGATTTTCTTGATGAATTCAAGAATATGTCTTATGGGCGCTTTCGCGATTTCTTCAGGTTCCGGATATTGTACCCCGAAGTTCCATTCCCGTTCCCATTTAAGGTTCCGACAGTGGCATAGTATGTGAATAGGAGTTTCATCCTCATCTTTACATATTCTACATAGGGAGTCATCGGCTATGACTGACCTAACTGAGCTAAGTAGTCAACACAAAGTGACCTTAGCCACGAAGGATATCAAGGTAATGATCTAGACGGAGAAGGCTCGGATAATCCCCGAACCCTTCTGTGGTATACATCAAATAATGTATGCAAAAAGAATCTAAGGAATGATGGAAAAACTATCCAGGATTGAGACAGGCCAAAAAGGAGTATCGGCCAAATTCACGCGCTTATATTCATTTATAGGCAAGTTTATGAGTCTGAGACTGCTGGGTTTCGAATCCCAGACCAGACCATGTGGATTTTTAATTAAATTGCATGGTTCGGTTTAGGATTTGATGTGTGGCGTATTAATAGAAATTCAATTTCTGTTGATATGACATGCAGATTAAAAAAATTCGCCATACATTACCGTCTCGATGATGGTGGGTGAGGTTTTCCGGGTTTTCCTCACCTGTAAGTCAAATGGCACCATCAATCATCTTTAAGTCGCCCCGGAGCGCCACGGCAAACAATAACAAGCTCAGCTTTTGGGGTTAAAATTCACTCGTAAGGGGGTGAATTAGGGAGAGTATTATTATTATTATTATTATTATTATTTTTTTTTTTTTTAATTTATTATTATTATTATTATTATTATTATTATTATTATTATTATTATTATTATTATTATTATTATTATTATTATTATTATTATTATTATTATTATTATTATTATTATTATTATTATTATTATTATTATATTATTATAAACGACAAATCGTTTGATTAAAAGTAAGTCTTATTACCAGACACTGCCGCCTAAGAAGGCACGTATTATCGAGCCAGTAAAAAAAGCAACATTGTAAAAGTTCTGTAAAGAAGAAGAAGAAGAAGAAGAAAAACAAGAAGAATAAAAAAGACCAAGCTAGACGACATACTCTAAATATTCTCCAACTTCTTTCAAATCTAATCTAACAACTGTACTCGTATCCACTTCTGGAACTACTATTGGTTACCTCAGATATATTTAGAAAAAACTTGCTATATTATTTTATTGATTTTTTAAGAATTTAATTTGGACTATTCAGAATATCAGTTAGCAGAATGTTTGTCATATTATATTAAAATAATATTTAGATTTCTACTAAAAATGTATGTAAAAAAAATATTACAGTTTGGGAAAAGAAGGTGTATCAGGGATTTGATAAATTAAGATTATTTATATCCCAAAAAGCCAAAAACTTTGAATTTATTCTACATACCATGTACAATTTTTAATGCAATGAAAAAAATAAATTAATGTTTAATGAATGAATAATAAGAGTAAAATTGTTAAAAATTATTTTTTTTACTTATTTTATTCAATTTTCTTTTTACGATACCCTACACTTATGTTTACATTATGACGGAAACGGTAATGATCACTTACCTCGTACCTCTGCCCTCACCCTTCCCATCACTCTCGCCTATATCATTGCTGGTAGCGCGTTTTTGGAGATGTAAATCTAACTCCTTGTCAGAGATTTTTCAGGTTTTCAATAAATTACTATTAGCATGTCTGAGTAAAAGAGGAGTGCAGTAAAAGTGGGGATATAACGTCACATGCCATAACCAAAATAAGTTTTTATAACATAAAGAAGGTCACGGCATATAAAATTGTATATACGCACTTCGTAGATTAAATTTTGAATAAAGTCTGACTTATCTATCAAAAGCAAAGTTTTATTACAGTAAAAATCATCTAAACGAAATTTTTATTAGGCCAATCAGATGTATTAAAATTTTCAATCAAGCATTGGTATGAGGTAAATAAAATATCTACCTGTTGAACCTGTACTATGTTCTGCAAATTAAAATATTACACTCCTTTCTTTACTAGACTATACTATAAATAAGGAAAACATGCCGAAACATGCAAATCCGTAATGAAAAAATATTACTTGTGTTATAGATTTATGAAGACAACACTGCCAGACGAACCAGCCAAGGGGAGGATCTGTATTCATCGACATGTTTTCCCTAGACGATGATGATTAGAATTTGTTTTTTAAGATAGAAAATACTCTGTCACTGAGTTAGTTTTACCTTTGAAGCCATAAAATATCGTTTTCAGATGATTTGCAACCGCGAAAGATACTTAAGAGAAAAGAAAAACACAAGTTTAAATCTTTTATTGGCATAACTAATTGCGAAAATTGTATAGTTTATTACAATTAAAAAAACTGAGCTAATAAGGAACATTACACATTGTACAGCAAAACAGATAAAGAGCACATGTAATTTTAATTAATTTTCCTAATTTATTATTAATACTGAATCTTAAAATCATTAAATAAATAAATAAATATTGTATTTGCTACAATAATTGTTTCCGAAAATGTTATTTCTTTATAAGGAAACAAGATTTTCCAGAATATTATAAAATCCAGTCGTTTTTACCTTTAAAACAATTTTAAAATAATCATTTAATAAAACGAGCTTTCCGTAAAATTGTATCTAATCTGGAAAACCTACAATATAATTTTTCTAGGAAATTACGATAGAACCGGTAATGTCTACTTTGGCGATATCTTTCATAGATTATTAATAAATTCCTTGAAAAACGAAGCTCCTCTGAATTTGATAAACTAGAAATGGCAAAGAGCATTAAAAGTTATACGTACAATTTAAAAAAAAATCTTTAGACGTAATTAACAATAAAAAAGAAGGCATTTGATAAGACATTACCAACGATCGCTGTACGTTATTATAATTATAATAAAAAATCTTAAAAACTATTTTATTATTTACATATAAAAATATTTTTATAATCACTAATCTACTTATCTATACAAAAATCACCGTAAGGCATAACAATATTCACCACTTCTAAAAAACAATAATTAGTCTGATTTTTCTCAAAAAAATATTTTGATTTGTTTCCTGTATTAATATGGCCGTTTTCCAATCCAGAATACATTAGTAATTAAAAAGATTGCTATTTTCCTAATTTTGAAGCTATACTGTACAAAGTATTCAACAATTGCAGAGCTCTTGTATCTTGATCATCTTCTTTTAAATTAGGATTAACGTATACTTGGAACTCATTTTTTTCTTTAGTGGTAGTGTGTTTTTGAGGTTGACTAGGTGAAAGAGGATTGGTTTCCGATAACTCCAAAGATTCTAGAGGCTCTAAATTTTCTTCATTGTGATGCTTGATGTCTTGTGTTGCATTTTTACCGCATTCACTTATTAAAAGTAAAATAAGCCTCCTGGTTATTGGATTGGACTCTATCTCCTTCATCTTAACCAAAAATTCGTCTTCTGTAGTATTAAGTTTTCTTAGTATCCTATGTAATCGGTCATTAGAATCATCACTGGAATTGTTCATAAAGTCTATCAAAATTCCAGAAACTTCAGAAGAATTAAAGGAAAATTTGGGTAAACTACGTAATTCATAGTTAACTGCTCTGGTACGGCCAATAGCTGGAAGAATTTCTGGTGTAGTAGTGTCTGGTTCAGCAGAAGTTGTTTCTACATCATACAACAAAGGTGAAGTAGAATCAAATTCTTCATTAAATAATACGGGATCTATCGAAAAAGTGCTTTGCCATAAATTAGTTGCACTTGTTGAAGTAGTCCAATGGTTTTGAGGCAAATCCTTTGTTATTACTTTACTTTTTGCATTGTTATTATTAATATCGTTCAAACCTGGTACAAATGATTGAGTGTCGGCTGTATTCAAATCAGTATTAGTGACGGAATTTTCGATTTCAAAGTTATTAGGAGATTTGGCTGCTATAATAAAACCCCACGTTGGAGAAGGTGGACGAAGAGTGGTGAGTATTGGTGGAAGACTTGTTTTAGTATCTGCATCTGAATAGTTTAATAATTCTTCATCTATAATATTGTAATCAGTAGTTGTTTCTATTTCTACTGATTGGGGTTCAGTAGGCCTGAAATTCTCTAAATCTTTTCTGAACATCTCAGGATCATTTAAATAAGCTGATAAAGCTATCGTGAAATTTCTAGCTAGTTGTCGTATTTGGGGACTCTCTAATTTTAAATCTTCTATTTTTGTATTATTTATTGTAGTTTCATTCATTTTAAATGTATCATTTTTCTCCTGTATTTGATTGAATAACTGATTGTAACCATGTACAGTCATTTGAGTTAGTAAAGTTGTTAATTTTTCTTTATTGTCTTTCATAAATTTCTCTGAAAATTTTCCAGAATTTTTAACTTTATTAGTAATTACTTCGTCTAAAGCGTTTGCAAAATAAACTGCAAGAGTGTGCAAAGTTTGTGGTCCCACGGAAGGTGGAACAACTAAACCTGGCCTAGATTTCGAGCTACTAGCTTCTTCTTTGGTAATTTCTGTTAAAACATCAATCATATTGTCTATATTTTCATAAATGGATGGAGTTGTTGTTCTATAAGGAGTTGGTAAGGTTGGTTCTGGCGAACCAGATTTGAAAGGACTAGCTGTTGATATTTTATAATCAAATACATTTGGTTGTTTAGAAACATCTTCGAAAGTTGATAAAGTAGAGGTCTCGTAATAGAATCTTTGGAAAGGTCTAGGTTGTTGCGTTGTACTCCGTATAGTTATGTTATAAATTCGCATATCGTTTAATGTAGTCTCAGTTGGATTTTGTGTAGTTGATTGTAACAAATCTTGTGTTTTTGTAACATAAAAACCTTTATTCTTCCCTTGATTTAAATGTTGAATTTTATTGTCTCTTAAAGATTCTGGAATAGATTTACTGGACAGTCGTATAAGTATCTCTTCTTTACTTTTATCCAATGAAACTTCTTCAGGTTTTATGGTACTTTGTTGAATTTTGATTGGTTTAGCTTGGCTTACAGATTTTGTTCCAGAGATACTTTTAGATGATCCGGATCCAAAAGATTTACCTAATTGAATACCTATTTTATTGGTTGTCTTATTAAATTTAACTTGAACTGTGTTGCTAGGAAGGGGTGTAGATGGAAATGAGCCGTAGATGATAGCATAATCTGGTGTTTTTGATCTAGATTCTGTGTATGTAACTTCTGGATTATCTTCATATTGTATTATAAACGGCTTTCTACTAATAGTTGTTTTTGATTGTTTTTTCTGTGGATTAGAAGTTACAGGTCTTACAGTTGTTATTGTTGAAATAGCCTCAGTTGTACTAGAAAAATCTTCCAATGTAGAAAAGTGTTCGGTAGTTGATTCGAAAGTTCCTTTATAAACAACTGTTGTAGATTCATCTAAAGGTTTGATTTTTGCAAATAGGATCTTTTCGAGTACTTTAGGGCTGACTAATGACGAGTTTGTGACATTTTTAGAATTTGAAATTACATGTACTTTAAATACATCATCTGCAGCTAACTGTGTTTTAGTTTTCATGACCTGGGGATTTATAAATAATGGATCTTTAGTGGTTTTGATATTAATACCAACTCTGCTGCCCAAAAATGGTTTACCGTTATTAATTGGCTGAGTAGTGATGTATTGAGGAGTCACTGAAGATATTGTACTGTACACTTTGGTAGACATATACGGAATCGTTTTGATATCAGCATAAGTTGTTCTGTGGTTAGGGAAAGGGTTATAAGATGAAGTTTCTTGTATACTATTAAATGAGTTTTTCAAAAATGAAGCAGATTCCTGTGGTATTTGAGATTCTTCTGAACTTGGTAGTTCTAAATTTTTCCTTGAATCAAATTTACTATCATGTACATTAGATGGAATCGGATTGGTTTTAAATTTTTGAGGTTTTTTAATTGATGGTTTTGTCACATGACTCTGAAATTCGACTTCTTGATACTCATTGGGACTATCATCTTTATTATATGCTGGACCTTTTGCTATATTTTTATTTTGATTTTCTGAGGTATTGTCTATTCCGGTAGTTGATGGTGGGAACTCTACATGATAACCTTTGAAGGTATTCTGTACATATTTTTGTATTGTTGGGGATGATGTTGTAGTCGGACTTTTATCATTTTGATTATAATCAAGATTTTGATAATTACCTAGGTCCTGTTCATTATATCTTCGAGTTTTTTGATGTACTGCCGCCTGCGTTTTTTGAAAATCGTTAATATTATTTCTATGATTTGACTTAGCCTGTATTTGTTTAGGAACATTATTTTTATTATTACTTTTAACTTTTGCTCTGTTAGTTTGATGATTATTCTGCAAATTTTTAGGTTTTAAATTATGAGTATTATAATTATTATTCTGAGTAGTAACTAAACGATCATTTTTATTATTGGTATTACTAAAATGCTGTGTGTTATACTTATTATCTGCTACTCTATCAATAAAAGAATTCTCTTTAACTCCTAATGTGCTTTTATCTAATTCTTGGGTATTCAGGTGAACTCTTCTGAAGGATTTCCTCTTGGCTACATTTTCTCGAAGATTCTCTGCACTTTCTTCATACAAATATGGCGAATGGCTGCAATTAACTTTAAACCACCACTCGCAAATAAGGTCTGTCTGCTGGAAAATAGTTCCATTTGGACACAAGAAGGATATTTTCTTCTCATCTTCGCAGATGTGGAAAACCTGAAATTTTAATAAAAATAAAAAAGATTAATTGTTAGGAAGATGACGATTTAATTTTACAAAATTGCAAGTTTTTTAAATACCTATTCATGTGATATCATCTAAAATTTTTAATTATAAAGTTGCTAATTTCAGTAAATAAAATCTATTTAGTGATATTATCAAACGAAGAAGAATGACACAATAAAACGACCACAAAATACAAATAAAAAAAAACTACACAAGAAAATATTCAAAGAACACTGAAAAAAGACTACCCAAAAAGAAGGAATAAAGATATCAAGGAATAAAAGAAAAATACAAGGAATTTTATTAGACACAATAATTGTGACTTAGTCGTTTAAAGATGAATAGAAGAAATAACTAAAAATAGAAAATATGGTAACTATAAATATGTTCAAAACTAAAAATCGGGACTGAAGAAAGCGATATAACAAATGCTTTGGAAAAATAAATCGTTGCGTCCTGGTACTCCGTCTGCAAGCTATTGGAAGATATTGTATAACCAGGAATATCAGAAAATTTTTTAAGAAGTAAAGTAAGTAAAATACAAATTATGACTAAACAAATTCTTTTGATTTCATACATTAACAAGGAAATTTTGGTATAAATGAAAAATAGTACGATATTTGTTTAGAGCAATATTAGGAGACAGTAGACACTAGAGAAAAGAATGTCAAATTAGATGAATAAGATGAGTATAAATATAAAAGTTCCAGAAGACTTAATTAAAGAGCAAATTAAATGTGTTTATAAGTTCTGGTATTAATGGTATTAAGCAGAACAGCTACTGAATAGATATAAATAAGTTTCATTGGGCTAGGAAGTTAATTTAATAATTGAAGCTATATTAATTTATTGTTAGGTCATACTAAAAGAAACATTATTGAGTTTTTAATTATATTTTATGGCGTACAAATATTTACCTGGCAGTCTGTGTCAGTATCTGCGTAATATCCTGATTCCAATTCTTTGCAACTGAATTTGGTACTTGGAATATGCGAGTACACAGGAAAGTCTATTCCTGGAGTACCTTCTACTCCCTGGTAAAAGAATAAGTAGTCTGGTTGAGATACTTTCTCTGGCAATCCTTTCTCATGGTCTGTAGGATACTGTTCAATCCCGTTTACGTACTAAAAGAAAAGAAAATAATATTAATAATAAAATATTGTTCAATTTCCAAACTAATAAATAACTACAATATTAGCTATTTATGAAATATTTGTGGGTCGAGCAGAGCGAGGTTTCGCAACATGAACGAGTTATATAAAAGGGTATTTCTGCCATCATGTCAACTGACAAATTACAAATATTTGAGGCTTTTTGACCATTGTGATACTAGCACATTATGACTCTCTTAACAACAGTAAACAGAGATTGGTTACCACGGTATAACATTGCAGTATATCATAAAATAATTTATTTTTGTAAATCAGACATATCACAATCTTTTAATTTTACATATACCGCAAGGCATTACAAGGTAGAAAAGAACTTTTTTACATTAATACTATTTTTTATTTCCCTTTGTACTTCTTTAGGACTAGTTAATAAAATTTTCTCTATATCACTAACTTCCTCTTGGTTGTCCATTTCAGTTTCTTCACCTTCTCCTGGGTTTGGGTGGAAAATGCGTTCTAAATAGTTGGCAAAGTCATCAACTTTTTTGCAACTTTTTTACAGTGGCACAAGCTCTATAAGTAGGAGGGTGCTCTCCTCCACAGTAGTCCACAGTGTATATGCACTTATGTGCTGTACTTGTTTTTACAATCTTGAGTTGAGTGCTTGCCAGCACATTTGACACATCTTGGTTCTCTTTTGCAATAGTTTTGAGTATACTTATATTCGTCGCATCGTTTACATTGGGGTAATAGTGGATGTTTTTTTGTAGGCTTCTATTCGCACTCTCAAATAAAGTATTTCCTTAACCCCATAAATTATTTTGACATCTTCATATTTGTTAAAAGCTAGAGTGAAAAGTGAGAGCGGTCTTTTATCTTTTCTGCTTAGTAGCTGACTTACTTCAAGTATTTAAAACCCTTTACTTTTTAGGTCCTCTTTAATTTGCTCTGGTTAACAAGACATGCAATTTTCTCACAACTACCTTTTTTGGTCTTGACTGTTTATTTTTAAATGAACAAAGATCATTTCCTATTTAATGTGTGTTTTTCGGATGAGTGTTCTTTTTTCCTACACGATTTAGTGAATCGCCACAATTTCCATTACTGGGCTGACAGCAATCAAAGGATTTTCCACGAGACACTCACCCAACACCCCGAGAAGGGTTATTTATGGAAATTCCATTGTAGGCCCTTTTTCCCTTCTTAAAATTTAATAGGAGATATGTACTTGGATTTACTACATACTACACAACGAACAAGAACTGATTTTTCAACAAGACGGAGCTCTTCGGCATTACTCGCTAAATTATATAAATGGAACATTTCCAGGACGATGGATAGGACGAAGAGGCACAATTGAGTGGCCATCTCGGTCACCCGACGACTTGAATCCTTTAGATGTTTTCTTGTGGGGACACACAAAACGCGTAGTTTACAAAACTACACCTGACACATCAGGTGTCACTTAGCGTTAATGCGTTAATGATACAAAATGTACGGCAACGGTTTGAACTTGTATTACTATATGCGGGCAGCACTTCGACCATTTACTTGACTAATACGGTTAGAATTAAATCGCTTTTTGTATTTTCCGTCACACAAAATTGTTTAACTTTCAACACTCCATAATTTTCTAAACGAGTGGCTCAATTTTTAAAAACTCAGCAGCGTTGTATATGAAATGACAAGACCCTTTTATTGAGCTATGACTTAAACCCCCTTCCCCTTTGAAAAATTTGGAGGATAACATCCCTACTGAGGGTATTAAAGGTTTTACTATGTTTTTTGCGTCAAAAGGTGTCCCTTTGACAAAAAATTTATCGCGTTTTTGGATTTCGCCGGAAAGTTTTTTTTACATCCTGTAATGCTTTGCGGTATGTTTTCGACAGGCCAGCCTGTATAGTGCATACTAAAAATAAAAATTGAATGGTTCATGGGAAATTAATTGGCTTGGTAAAGAAAATTATTACCAAAATTTCAGTATTATCCCTGTTTGTTTATATAAAAGGTGTTATGTTTTGGAGATAAACTTTAAATTATTTCCAAAGTTTAATGTATACCGTTTATATGTTAAAATAGTTGAAAATATTAACTATTATTTTATGTTTTATGTGAAAAATCACCTGTCACTTGTGTATTAATAAGTCAATACTAGGGATTTTTAAAACAATTGTAGTATATATAGTGTATAGTATATAAGTGTTTTTTTTTTAATTTTTTATAATTATAATTGTTTTTTAAAAATTGTACCCAGTTTTTGTTAATAATAAAATAATTTTGACATTGTTATTTTACATTTTTATGTGAATATGTTATTGAATACCTATTCTAAATAAAATAAAATTATTACAAATGTTTTTTTATTTTTTATTTAAAACAAGCTTCATTTTCAATTTTCAGCATTTACTTATGATAAGAATTCATTTAATTTATTGTTGGTTCTAGTTGGTTGTAACAGCTGAAAAATGGTAAAATGTGACTTTAAATTGCTTCAAATTTCAGAATTTTTGAAGCATGCCATTTTTAAATCGCTTTACTTAGTAGTGTTCTACTTGTTAATAATTATTTACAGGAAAACGCCTACCCTGGCAAATTTTCTAGCACATGCATTATTTGGTTTAATAATAATGTTGCATTCTTTTTCTGACAGTAAATTAAAAACAAAAATAAAAATTGCATATCCAATGTTTCTTCTGTAAAAATTATTTTAAAAAGTAAGTATTTAAAATTACCAAACCGTTAAGCATTTTATTGCAGAAATATTTATCTTGTCTAATACGAACAAAAAAAACACTAGCAAGTTTTCTTGAAATGCAATAACTTTTAATCAAAATTTTACATTCTTAAATTATTTTGTTATGTAACAAAGATAACATAATTATGGATATTACTTTAAACAATAAAGTAGAAGTATATAATTGATACATCTCGCACAATAATCGGTAAATTGCGAATAACGCAATATATGATATTGCGAAGACCAAATTTGTTAATATTTACTTAATTCGAATAATTGCAGACAAAATCAATCAAAAGGTTATAAGATTTAATCGGTTTACTCCTTTTTCTATTAGAAGTATTCCGTAATTATTTAATGTCGGTTTCCTTTTTACCTTAAAAGTGAATCTTGTTTTTAACAGAAGCGTACCAAAAATGTTTTCATTGAAAAAAAAAGGAAAGTTTTCTAATACATTGTTTAGAAAATTCAATGAAAATAAAAGAGGGCATAATATTGAGAATGCTAAATCTGGTTATAATAGAGACAACAGATAGGAGACATATATGAAAGCCACCTAATCGTAAAACGACATTTTTCAATTTTGCTTCCATGTCACTCAAACAGACAATTTGTTTTGCTTTAAAATACACTAGCTGATTAAAAGTGATGAAACATGTTTGCTGTTTTAATTACTTTTTTCAGAGGCTGTTGCTGAAACAGTAAAAATCGTGTCGGAGTTAGTCGGTGGTGCATTATTGAAAGTCAAACAAGCTATAAAAGATTTCTGATATGAATGGTTTGCCGTCCCTTCTTCCATAAATCCATTTCATCCAGGTATATTTGGTAAATCAGTTCATTTCCCGTAGAGCCACAGCAGATCTGAAGTTGACGACATTATTGTATTGGCGACTGAAGAAATAGTACGGATATCTATAATAGGAAAAGTTTATCTTCTCATGGCTTCGTAGTGCAATGCTACCAGAATTTTCGACGTACTGAGCTGACGGCATTATTGTGAGACGAGAAATATTCTGATCAGGAGCAATGGCACTTGCGGGCGTTATACAATGGATGCCTTCCATGGCATGACAAGTGTTTCTGCCATCCACGGTTTAAGTATTAAAGTCCGCATTGTCGAGAACGAACTGTGAAAAGGCACTCCCGTCAATACCAAAAAGAGGGCTCATCAAAGTCGGAACTTCAAAAAGTGTTGCTTCCTTGTACGAGGAAGAAAATTCTAGTGAAGCCAAGGTGTCAATCAGCTTACGAGATCCGTATCAAACTTTTAGATTCGAGCGGTAGGCTCAATGAAAAAAATTCGTATTGCTTTTCACGCTGCGTACTTGCTCAAATATGTAATTCTCGTACACGAAAACGGTTGGTTTTATGACAAAAATGATAGGAACCAAGTTGGTAGAGAAAATGATTTAGTTTAATTTATTACATAATCATTTTTACTGCAAAAGCAACGAATAACGAGATATCTTGAAAAATCTCTTTTTTTACAATTCATTGCAATATGGCAGCGACAGCGGCAAAGATACGAGGTGGCAAAATAAAAATTCGGGAAATGCAGCTAAAAAAAAAAATACGTATAATCACAAAATATCAAAACTTCCGCAAATTTTTCCAGGTAAATTGACGTAGTTACCGGACTAAATATCGTCCGTTAGTTCATGAATAGTTGGCGCTGCTGTCACGCACGGAGCGAATAATGAATGAAAATAGGCTGACTGGGCTAGGCATGATAAGCGTACATCGAAAAATAATCGGAGGAAACAAAAAAGAAATTATGTTTTTAGTTATCGATGTTTTTGGTAGAGAAAAAAGAATTTGCATTTTCCTAGTGTTTTCTTTTGTGTTCAGCGACGTGTTTGAGTGAGCTTTTTTATGTTTTTGTGTTCTTTTAAATTTTTATTTTTTATTATTATGCATGGCGGTGTCTTCTTGTTTATATTTTTGTTTTATATCACACCTTTTGTTTGTTTTTTAAAAATGTGTTTTAAGTTTCTTGTTTTTTTTTTTATTTTAGTTTTTTGTCTTTTTTGTTGGGTTATTTTATTTATTAGAGACTTGTTAATTTGTATTGTTCTTTTATTTTTCATTTTCTTTGTTTTTCAACAAATAAACATTCTATATTTTTTTCAAAATGTTGCCCCTCCCTATAGAATTGTGTAACGACGCCCATGAGCATATCTAAGTTTAGTAACATTTTTGTGACATCTAGGAACATTAGTGACAATATTTACTGTTTACTTTACGTTGTGTATTTTTAGTTTTTGTTATATAAAGT